GAAGGAGAGAGATGAGACGCAAGGGAAGAGTAACGAAAGAGGAGACGGAAAGGAAACACGAGGAAAAATGTAGAAAGAGAGAGAGAAGGAGAAGAAGGAGGAGTAATAGGAAAAGCGGGAGGAGGGGAAGGGTAAAGAGGAGAAGGAAAGGAAGAGGAGGAGGAGCAAAAGGAGAAGAAGGAGGAGAAGGAGAAGAAGGAGAAGGAGGAGAAGGAGGAGGAGGGCGAGGCGGGCGAGAGGAGTGTTGTTGACATATCACGGAGGTGGGAGGCTGTAGAGTGGCGCGAGGACGGGCCGGGCACGGGGGGGGGGGGGGCACTGCGGGCGCCTCGCTCGGTCCCTCGCCCACGTCGTGTCAGGGGGGGTGGGGGATAAACGCACATACATACATACATACATACATACACACACACACACACACACACACAATCCATCCATACCCAGAGAGAGAGAGAGAGAGAGAGAGAGAGAGAGAGAGAGAGAGAGAGAGAGAGAGGAGAGAGAGAGAGAGAGAGAGAGAGAGAGAGAGAGAGAGAGAGAGAGATTCAACACAAATGAATAGTATTGTAAATATAATGAAGACGTTTTAAAAACTACAGAAAAAAAGTGACCAATAAATGACCGAAATAAAAAATAACTTTTGTATGAAATGATAATTAATAATGAAATAAAAAAACATACATAAATTATCTACTCTCAACAGAAATGTAATTATAAAAAATACTGATAAAGTAGCAAAAAATGATAATACGATAAATTAGAGAGAATAATGCAATCAATAAAGGCAAAAAAGGAAACTAAATATTTTGAATAAACATAAAGAGGATGCTAGCAAACAAAAAAGGAATAAGAGACAAGAGGGAAAAGGAGAACGGATATACGAAAATAATGAGAAACATAAATATAAAAAGAGAAAAAAAACTGATAACAGAGAAAAACTGGCGAAAGAAAATAAGAATCATTATTCCAAATAGGAATTAAGAGGAATATATGGACAGCATGGGAGGGGATAAAAAGAAAAACGAAAATAACGCAAGCAAAGAAGAAGAAAAAGAGAAAGCGAAAATAGAAACATAAAAAATACAAGAAAGGAGAGGGAAGCGAACTCGGGTACGAAGAGAGACGTAACAAAGAAAAGAAAGAATAGAAAAATAAAAAAAAGACACGAAGGAGAGAGAAAGGAGAGGCGATGAAAGGAAGAGGCATATTAGCCAAGAAGGACGAAGACTCCTTCAATCACTTCCTTTACATTACGTCACGCCGAAGGAAAGAGGGGCGGAGGAAGGAAGGAAGGAAGGAAAGAGAGAGAGAGAGAGAGAGAGAGAGAGAGAGAGAGAGAGAGAGAGAGAGAGAGAGAGAGAGAGAGAGAGAGAGAGAGAGAGAGAGGGAGAGAGAGAGAGAGAGAGAGAGAGAGAGAGAGAGAGAGAGAGAGAGAGAGAGAGAGAGAGAGAGAGAGAGAGAGAGAGAGAGAGAGAGAGAGAGAGAGAGAGAAAAGGAGCAGAGAATAAAAATAATCACTATACCACTGCACTACGACCAGTACTAATAAAGCAATAATAAAAACGATAATAATACCATAAAAGTGATATGAAAAAAGAGATGAGATGAGAGAGTGAGAGAATAAAAGGAGCAGAGGCAAGGGGAAGGGGAAGGGGAAGGGGAAGGGGAAGGGGAGGGAAAGAGAATGAGAATGTAAGGGAGAGAGAAATGGAAGGGGAAGGAAGGGAGAGGGAAGGGGAGAGAAGGGAGAGGGAAGGGGAGGGAAGGAGAGGGAAGGGATGAGAGAAAAGGAAGAGGGAAGTGGAGGGAAGGGGAGGGAAGGGATGAGAGAAAAGGAAGAGGGAAGTGGAGGGAAGGGGAGGGAAGGGGTGGGAAGGGGAGGGAAAGAGAATGAGAATGAGAGGAGGAGGGAGAGGGAGAGGAGGGAGAGGGAAGGGAGAGGGAAGGGGAGAGAAGGGGAGGGAAGGGGAGGGGGAGAGAAGGAAGAGGGAAGGGGAGAGGAGGGAGAGGGGAGAGAGGGGAGAGGGAAAGGGAGGGAAGGGGAGGGAAGGAGAGGGGAGAGAGGGAAGGGGAGGGAAGGGGAGGGAAGGGGAGGGGAGAGAGGGGAGAGGGAAGGGGAGGGAAGGGGAGAGGAGGGAGAGGGAAGGGAGAGGGAAGGGGAGAGAAGGGGAGGGAAGGGGAGGGGAGAGAAGGAAGAGGGAAGGGGAGAGGAGGGAGAGGGGAGAGAGAGGGGAGAGGGAAAGGGAGGGAAGGGGAGGGAAGGAGAGGGGAGAGAGGGAAGGGGAGGGAAGGGGAGGGAAGGGGAGGGAAGGGGAGGGGAGAGAGGGGAGAGGGAAGGGGAGGGAAGGGGAGAGGAGGGAGAGGGAAGGGAGAGGGAAGGGGAGAGAAGGGGAGGGAAGGGGAGGGGAGAGAAGGAAGAGGGAAGGGGAGAGGAGGGAGAGGGGAGAGAGGGGAGAGGGAAAGGGAGGGAAGGGGAGGGAATGGGAGGGGAGAGAGGGAAGGGGAGGGAAGGGGAGGGAAGGGGAGGGGAGAGAGGGGAGAGGGAAGGGGAGGGAAGGGGAGAGGAGGGAGAGGGGGTATTAATGAATCAGTGAGCGGTCCGGTCTTGACATATTGCCCCCGTAGATGAATGGTTGGGGGGGGGGGGGGCAAGGGGAGAGGGTGACAAACTGTGGATAAGAACAGAGGAGAGGAGAGGGGAGGGGGGAGTAGATAGCAAATGAAAGGTGGAGGAGAGTAGGAAGAAGAAAGGAAAGAATGAGAGATGGAGAAGAAAAGGAAGAGGGCGGGGGAGAAGGATAGGTAGAGGAGATGGTGAAGAGAGAGAGAGAAAGAGAGAGAGAGAGAGAGAGAGAGAGAGAGAGAGAGAGAGAGAGAGAGAGAGAGAGAGAGAGAGAGAGAGAGAGAGAGAGAGAGAGAGAGAGAGAGAGAGAGAGAGAGAGAGAGGGCGATGTAAGGAGAGTTGAATCCCTGAATGCATTGGAAGTGCGATGTCTTTGATGAATAGGGAGGATATGAGGTGTAAAGGAGAGAAACAGAGTGAGAGAGAGAGGGTGGGAGTGAGTGAGTGAGGGAGTGAGTGAGGGAGTGGGTGAGGGAGTGAGGGAGGAAGAGAGAGAGGGAGGGAGGGAGAGAGGGAGAGAGGGAGGGAGTAAGTGAGTGAGTGAATAAGTAAGTAAGTAAGTAAATAAGTGAGTGAGGGAGTGAGTGAGTGATAGAATAAGGGAGAGTGAAAGGAAGAGGAGAAGGGAGAGACAGGTAGACAGAAAAAAGTAAGACAGATAATGAAACCAAAGGAGGGAGAGAGGGAGAGAAAAATAGACAAAAACAACAACAACGATAGGGAAGGCAAAGGATGGGGCACGAGAGTGAAAGGGAAAGGGATAAGGAATTGGAGAGAACTACGGAATGGTAGAGAGACAGAGAGACAGATAGAGAGATGAACAATGCCAGTGAGAATGTTAGAGAGGGAGAGGACAGGGGGAGGGGCGGGGGAGAGGAGGGGAAGGGGGCGTGAGACCTCGCTAATGAGCCAGCGTGATCGTGCCCGGACTGTGGGAAGTGGAGCCGCAGTGTGGAAGCGACGACCCCGCCGCACAAGTGGAAGTGGATGGGGCCGCGGCGTGGAACGGGGTCCCTAAAGTGGAGTTGGTGCTACAGAGGAACCGCGGCTGCGCCACTTACACTCACACTCCCCTTATCTAATTATCAGCGGGATTATTTTTAGACTGGCGAGCATGACCACGATGGGGTCGTTCGGAAGGCGTCGGGGGCGTCTGGGGAGGCGGCGACGCAGGGCAGGGCAAGGGCGGAGGGAAGGAGGGAACAGGCGGGAGGGAGGGAAGGGAGGGGGCCGAGAGGGGAAGGGTGGGAGGGAGAGAAAAAGGGTGGTGAAGGGAGGGAAGGGAAGGAGGAGAGGAGGAGGATATTAGTAGGAGACGTCGAAGGGCAGGTCGATGGCGGAGGGGAAGGAGGGAAGGGATGAAGGGAAGGCAAGGAAATCGTGTGAGGGACGGAGGAGAGGACACAAAGAATGGGAGGATGTGGGGAGGGGGCCACAGAGGGGAGGGCGAAGGAGAGGGGGGAGAGGAGAAGACCTAAGGAAGGGGAATGGGACGTTTCAAGAACTGAGACCGAGAAAGGAAGAACAAGAAAACGAGAAGTGGAAAGATAAAGAAGAAGAGAGAGAATGGCTAGAGAAAGGGCGGGGGTGGAGGGGATGAAGAATCCTTCGGAGGGCACGAGAAGGGCGCAAGGGAGAAGCGGCGGGAGGGAGATGCAGCGGAGAGGCGCTGGGAGTGGTCCTGCCGACGTGTGATGATTTACACTCCCAGTAGTGCACGTTTTCATGCTAGGGATGGGAGGGAGATGGGGAAGGGGATGGGGAAGGGAGAGGGGGAGGGAAACGAGGGCCCAGTAAGGTCTCTCTATTCAGTAGGGGAGGAGACGTTCACGGGGGGACTTTGGGTGGAGAAAAGGCAGCGTGAGGTTTTATTCTCAGACGGAGGGAGAGAGAGAGGGAGGGAGAGGGACTGCAGTGCAGCCTTTAACCTGGATGAGGCCAGAGTGCCTCCAGAGTGCCGTCAGGGAAGGAGAGACGGAGGGAGGAGGGGTCGGGAAGGAGGAGGGGGAGGAGGAGGAGGAGGAGGAGGGGAGGAAGCGAGGGGAAGCGAGACGAGACAAGGCGAGGGGAGTCAAGGGGCTCGAGACCTGCTAGGTTGGAGGAGCCATGTTGTTGGCATAGTTGATGTGTTATTGACGTAATGAAGCTGGTGTTGAACACTCCGCAGGGCAGATGCCGAGGTTGTTGTTGATGGCCTCCGCCGCTGCCGCCGCCCTGCTGCTGCTGTTGCTGCAGCTGAGCGGCTGCTGCTGTTTTGTCGCTGCTGCGGAGTCGCTGCTGTTGCTGCCGACTCATTAGTGGTGTTGCAACTGTTGTTTTCCAAATTTCTAGTGTTGTTGACTTATTGTTGTTGAGTTGTTGTTGGCATTAGTGCTGT